CTCATATCTTAGACGAACTGTCCACTCGCTAACAGCTATCCTACGAACATTTCTGAGCTCTTGCTGGACGTCGATACCAGTCAAATGACGATTTCATAGAGAGGTTGACATGAAAAAACGGTCATCCCTCTGCGATGTGCACCGGTGCTGTTGAGAACTTGGTCTCGGGATAAAGCCACCAGTCTCCCAAAAGCGTCTTAAAACTTTCGAAACCCAGGACTGGCTTATGTGGAGCTGACGTGCGACAGTCCGCTGGCTGAGCCCTTCTTGCAACAGTGCAACGATTTGTGCTACATCTGTAGGTGTAGAATCCCAGGTAAAGTATCAAAAGAAGCCGAGATGTGTATGGATCAACGTGTGAACGCAAAAATCCGAAAACACGTGCTTTTATAGGGGGTAAATAGGCCGCAACTCGCGACGTATCAAACAGTTGGTACATCTCTTTTTTCTTACTTCTTTACATCAGCCGGGATATCTTTTTAAATACCGGTGTGATTTAAATGAATTTGGTATCAATTTAAAGTTAAAAGTTTAATCTTTAAAATGGTGCTACTTTTTTTGTTACTAACAAATTCGTTACTACACAAGATAGCGTGGAAACAACTTCATGTAAGTGATTCCATACTTTTGCTCGCGAGTGTAGATATCAAACTTTTATCTTCATTTACATTTGCATCATCCCATTGGGAATCTTTCTACCATCGACATTGTAAGAAGAAAAAGTTACCATTGGAAAGTCTTAGAGCTTCTTAAGTAACTATTAGAGCTTTACGAGAAGCATCGTGGTGTCTACAATAATGCATTAAATATAAACATCCTCCAATGATATAAAGATAGGCTGGTTGACAGCGGCCTGCATCCAGAATCCAGCGCTTTCCTGCTACTTTTATTAGTCATCTGTACACCTTGTGGGTGGTCGTCCCATGCTGCGCTTGCCGCCTATTCATTAGCATCACTGACAACGACGGCTTAGCATACTTATAGACGCATATTGTCATTGTGATAATACGCTTGCCCCCATTAATAAAAAGTTACACCTAGGATGAACTCTGGATTAAAATGACGTTTCCAAACTAAATGTCAATTTAAGCCAGAGTTCAACTAGGGTGTAGCTATAAGGGGGTTGGTGTACGCCATCTTGCAGCTTATTTTTATTTTGTGCAACCGTGGATAGTGACGCTTTTAAATAGTAAAATCGCTACCTTTCATGACTTTCACTACACACTGCAGCGTTATTATCATCCCGCACGTCCGACGCCGCTCGCTTACGCTCCGGAAGTTACGTGGCCACTAAACATGCGGCTAATCCTCTTTGGATGTGTTTTGTTATTGAGGAAAGGTTGGATTAGTTGCTTTATTTTAGAGGCGATGTCGAGGTTATTTATGGTAAAGTAAATACATCGGGTCTTTTAGTTCTAGGCTAGGATATTAGAGCAGTAGGGTTTTGTTTAGAGATGAAACGGATAGTTGTTTGGCCGGATACCGGATACCGGATATCCGGCGAGCTGCTAGGCCGGATAGCCGGATATCCGGCGGCCGGATAGTTGTCCCATTGTCATGTTGCATGTCGTAACGAGTTTAGCGCCGCACAGGTGCTTCGATCAGTGGGTCTAGTAGACTAGACAAGTCACACTTTTCGAAAATCGAATTCGTTCGAATAGAATGTCAGATTTTGCCACTCGTCTAAGGAGCAGATCAATTCGGGCGATTTCGGTTGCCATCGTGAGTACCTATGTGATGGAATAGTGAAAATTCAATTAGTTTACTATTTTTTAACCCCTCCGCCCCCCATGGTGAGATGTCTCATGTGAGATTTTCCCCTCACCCCCTAATATCACGTGAGATTTTCCAAAATGCATATTTGCAATGTAAATGAGATAATCCATGCTTCGAAAATATTAGATTTTATAAAAAAAACCCGACCTACGTAAAAAAGTTAACTGATTAATGATTAAACTAAACAATTTAGGCCCAGTTTTTTAACTTTTANGTAACTAATTTAGCTTTACGAGAAGCATCGTGGTGTCTCTGTCAACGTGAAATTGTGAACTCTGTCAGTTTATAATATAACGCGTTAGATTGTAAACTAACAGTGGGTTAGGTTAGGTTAGATTGTAATTTAACTACGTCAGATTATAATCTGACGGAATTCCCAATTTTACGGTGACATCTACAATAATGCATTAAATATAAACATCCTCCAATGATATAAAGATAGGCCGGTTGACAGCGGCCTGCATCCAAAATTTAGCGTCTTCCTGCTACCTTTATGGGGTCATCTGTCCACCTTGTGGGTGACAATCCCACGCTGCGCTTGCCGCTTATTCATTAGCATCACTGACAACGACGGCTTAGCATACGACGTTTCCAAACTAAATGTCAATTTAAGCCAGAGTTCAACTAGGGTGTAGCTATAAGGGGGTTGGTGTACGCCATCTTGCAGCTTATTTTTATTTTGTGCAACCGTGGATAGTGACGCTTTTAAATAGTAAAATCGCTACCTTTCATGACTTTCACTACACACTGCAGCGTTATTATCATCCCGCACGTCCGACGCCGCTCGCTTACGCTCCGGAAGTTACGTGGCCACTAAACACGCGGCTAATCCTCTTTGGATGTGTTTTGTGTTATTGAGGAAAGGTTGGATTAGTTGCTTTATTTTAGAGGCGATGTCTAGGTCATTTATGGTAAGGTAAATACATCGGGTCTTTTAGTTCTAGGATATTAGAGCAGTAGGGTTTTGTTACGTGATTTATTTAATTTATTTAGGAATTCCAATGCCATTTTGCGGCCCTTTGGTATTTTCAGAGAGTATTGGGCCTCTCAAGAACTATTTAGCAAGACCAAAGACGAAAGGAATATTTTCAAACATGAAAAACCGATTGTCTCCGTTGAAATTTAAACCCTTGACCTTTCACTTGCTAGACTGCTCTGACTGAAGAACTACTGACACTTTAGGCAAAATATTGGCTCGCACAACCCTTTAATAATTTTGATGGTAGAGCCATTGAAGTAACATTACTACAGAACACTATCTTACTGCTTTGACTCATTCCCATTCTCAATTCCGTGCTCTAAATTGACCCTATCAGAACTCTAACTCAAAATCTCCCAGTCCTCTTCAGAAAATGCATTCAATAAATTGACCCTATCAGAACTCAAACCCATTGCTGCATCAGTNAGTTAAAATAATTACAAATAATCTCATTGGATTTGTCTCATATTTGGGGAATGTACTATGTATCATGAGTAGTCTTATATTAAAAGGATGCCAAGGATTTCAAAGTCATCCTGTATGTCATCAGACCATCAGTGAAAAAAAGATCGCCTATTTTATTTGGCAATATTTCGACATTAAAATATATTTACTATTTATGTATTCGTCATTAGAGTGAATAGCGCAGAAAGGAAATTGGTTTTTTGAAAGGCCTTAATATGGCTTTTTTGTAACTTTTTGGACTTTAGATAAAAACCGTCATTATTATTAAGCCATTTTATTGATATTTAACTCAAAGATTAATGTGTTTCATTTTATTATAGGAAATTTTCGTAGTTTTTTAATATCCGGTATCCGGCCGGATAGTGAGCTACTATCCGGTATCCGGCCGGATAGTAAATTTAGGCCGGATATCCGGCCTACCGGATAGTTGCCGGATATCCGTTTCATCTCTAGTTTTGTTACGTGATTTATTTAATGGTTAGGAATTTTAATGCCATTTTGCGGCAATGTTTGGTATTTTCTGAGAGTATTGGACCTCTCAAGAACTATTTAGAAAGACCAAACAAAAAAGAAATATTTATTAATTTATTTATTTATTAATATTTTCAAACATGAAAAACCGATTGCCTCCGTTGAAAATTCAACCCTCGACCTTTCACTTGCTAGACTGCTCTGACTGTAGAACTACGGAAACTTTAGGTAAAATATTGACTCACACAGCGCTTTAATAATTTTGACGGTAGATAGAATCATTGAAGTAACATTACTACAGAACACCCTCTTACTGCTTCGACTCATTTCCATTCTCAATTCCGTGCTCTAAATTGACCCTATCAGAACTCTAACCCAAAATCTCCCAGTCCTCTTCAGAAAATGCATTCAATAGATCTTAAATTGACCCTATCAGAACTCAAACCCATCGCTGCATCAGTCCTCTCCACTCATTCAACGCATCACTGCAGCGCACCGCCGACGGTGTGGCCCTACGGAAGCGATGCACCGATCGATGCAGTGCCTGCGCAGAGCGCGGGTCGATGCACCCGCCATGTGCCCGTGACGTAACCGCTATGCTGACTGTGCTTTTTGAACTCTTGGTAGAGATGATAGATAGATAGGACTTCTAGGTAGTTAGACAAGCGTAAAGAATATAATTATGACACGCTGGTATGCGCTAATTTCCCCAACGATAGAGATGTTAGCCAAAAACTTCTATGTAACTAAACGAGCTTAAAAGAAGTAGGTAGTTGATGCCATAATTTAATAAATTCAAGGCACAACTTTTCATCTATTTTGGTGCATTTTCTTAAAATAAAACACTTACCAATAATGTTTTAAAACACTTCTCGTCAAAAGCCTCTAATAAAGAGATTTTCATTTATTTTTCTTTATTCAGAAAACCACAGCCACATATGCAATTCATATATGTATGTATTATAGGTATAGCTAAAATCTGTCTACTCGTTTAGAAGCCACGTAGCCACAGACGCAGAATAGGTTAGCCAAACTTATATTTGCTCTAGTTTAATACAACACCAAACACCCTTTTATCGGTCTCATTTTCATTAGACGATGAGTTTAGTTTAACTGAGACTACAACTTTAGTGCATAATGTTGCCATGTGCGACAGCTTAGGGTTTGATGGGTTTTCCACATAAAAAAATGGTGTACACTTACAGCAAAGCTTTGAAAGACTGTCGACGGAGCGCTGATCGCTGCCGTAAAACTAGCATTTACTGCTACTCCGTAATGTAGATAGAGCAAAAGGAAGAGTTAAACTGACCTCCTATTGTCCAAGTAGGCGTCGTAGTCGTCTGGCATGTTCTTGTCGTCGTGCATGTCGTAGAGGTCGCTGTAGATCGCAGATTCGAGTCTCGACGGGTCCAAGTGGTAGTTCGGATTCTCGTACGAGAGAAGACCATTCTCTGGAAATAAAGAAAACATGGTTAATTTAAGTAAGACATTGACTAAGGCTTACGAGTTAAGGAACATGGACTGGATTAAGGATTTGGCACGCTGAATTCGTTCTACAACTTAGCTAGCAATAATGTTTTTATTTGATTGACATACATAGTTTATGGAAGCAATTGGAGGTGGCTCAGCGGTTAGTTCTGTCGTCTACGGTTGTCTACGGTTAGGTCAAATGCAGGCAGTGTGGCAAATCCTTAAGGAATTTGAACGTAACGCGATAAGGAGTCCTGAATGTGCTCGTTGCTATGTAAAGGAAGTGGAAGATAAATTTTATGGTGCTTTTCTTAGATGATAAGATAGGTAACCAGAATACCGACTTTTCAGATGCTTCCCGCTCTCTTAGAACCACCAGGAATCAAACTCCAAAACATTTGGCCTCAACACAAACTTACACCTTTAAAATTTCATCTTTACCACCACTGATCAATGACCTCGCTCTGTGATTCCAAGAGGTCACTAGTTCCATCCCCATCGACCGGACTATTGTGCTGAAACGCTCCTAAGCCCAAGTATCAGGTTAGCTGGAGTACAAATTAATTAAAAAAAACATTAAGTGATTCATACGTAAAAGTAATACTCTTTATAACCCGTGGATACAAATACTACAGCCGGCCTAAGTCACTTCTGTGGCTTCGTGCGTCGCCTCGACCGAAGCCCCGCTCATTTATTATACGTAGTACGTGAAATTATATCTACTTACTCTTTAATTTGATTATACAAGGTGTCTGCTATCAATCTGAATTGGACTTGCTCGATATATTTTCTCTACGCTAAACGGGGGTTCATCTTCGTCATTTTAGCAAATTGCAATCCATTGGACCTAAATTGCCAAAAAGCAAAAAGCATGATTACCTGCTTTTTGTCTATCGAGTTTATGAGCATCTTTTAAACTACATACGTTTGACAAAATGAAGAATTTATTTGCTCTACCTTTCATCGGTTGTACTTATAGTTGCAAATTTACACCAAAGATGAGAAAAAAAAATTGTTTTAAACAGTTATTTAGATCCTGTGATTGTACCTACCTTTGATCCATAAAATCCCGGAGATCTTGATTGCCTAGACATTTGGTAAACGAGCTCAGTAAACGAGTTTCAATCTTACAATGTAGAGACAAGACAAGATGACAAACACATAAAAAAAATATTATAGTTGGCAGTGTAGAGACAGTCCACGTCAAATAGTTCGTGTCACCCAAAGTAGCCAAAAAGTTCGCAACACGTCTTTTACAATGGAATAAGGTTTTGTTGTCAAGTTTTTGGTCACTTTGGGTGTCACAAACTATACACAAAAATGAGCGATGCCGCAGGCAATTACTAGTCTCAAATCCTCAATGAAACACGTACCTCACGTGTCTCAGACAATAACACAAAGAACAAATATTACGGAGCTAAACGGTCTGTAACGAATTTCGTGTCAAGGTTTTTGTGGTCGCTCCACATAATGGCCAAGATTCGGCACATTGATTGTTTTGCTGAAGATCTTATCGCTAGCAGTTCGTTATGGGGCCAAGTTGGTAATTTGTTAATGTGGGAACAATATTTAAGGATTTTTTGACTTAATTAGATATGGTTTGACTTCGCCTTCACTGTATTTTACGTACGAGTACTTATTACAATTATTTCTTATGCATTTTTTATTCTTCATACAATAAGAAGTAGGTACAAATCTTATATTTCCTTTAAAAACCTCCCTAGTTTTAAAATATATTTTTTTCATCGTAATATTTTGAAAATTCCGGTATTTTTTTTTATGCATTACAAGGCAGGTATTTGACCACAATCGCACCTGATGTTAATTTGCATTATTTTGTGTTTATTTTGGCTTTTGACGCTATCTGATGATGGCCGTCTCGCCTGGTGGTTATTGGACTGTAACGCTAGCAGCAGCTGCGGGTTCGAATACCGAAGGGGACAAATTGTGTCAATGAATGTAGAGTATGGATATAGAGTGTTTATTTAGGCTGAGTTGCACCATCTTATTTTAACTTTGACAAACGTCAAAAATCTGTCAAATTCCATACAAAAAGCACCGGTTAATGTTATTGTCACGGTTAAAATAAGGTGGTGCAACTCAGCCTTACTGTATGTCGTCGTTGTGAATATGTATAAGCTTCACTAATTCAAAAGCTTAGTAGTTAACTATTGAGAAGGTTATGATTATTTTATTAATCTATCTTGTTTGATGAAAAAAAGTTAATTGGACTGGCTTTCAGTTCGCTCAAAAATTGGTATTAGTTCCATAACCCGCATTACACTATCTACCAACCCTCCCATTTTCGAAAAACACCGTATTGGTTGCCATCGATATTACACGGTGTAATGGGCATTAAGGTCCACTCGCCGGTATTGGGCTAGGAGCGTTTATGTGGCCCATAACAATCAGCTGCATCACAACTGTGGTACAAGCGATTGACTTTGTTACATTTTGTAAGAGATGAGCGACTTTATGAAGCTTTCTCGTGGTAAGCTTTTTCAAAGGAATTCGTATTAGCAGTAGGAATACGAACGCTTATGGCGAAGCAGAGTAACTACTTCCATTGAAAAGGAATAATTATGATGTGAACAACAAACAGGCCTTCTCAGAGACTTGTGTAGCCCAAATTAATTAAAGATGTCGAGTTTAGATTTGGGTCATCTGTCGGATAATTCCTCTATTTACTTTTGGGGATTTGGAGATTAAGGTCGTGCACCTACAGTGAAGACTTTTGTCCCGATGATGAAGAGGTAAGAATGGCTCGAAGTCTGATAAGATAGAGTCATCCTCCATCCTCCACATTATGAGTCATCACTCATAATGTATTACACCTTGATCTTGAAAACAGCAGTTACTAATTACAAGCAGCTCTAGGCAGAAATACCTATCCTGTCAGCACTAATCCACCAGGCCTACCAAAAAAACATCCATTAAACATATTATCTTATCAATTTTGACCAAAATCTCCGATATCCGCCATATCTCGTGGCTTGCCGCAAATTATAAAGGTATGTCCACACGCAGTACACAAAATGTAACGGTAATGGCGCCGGGCCCACTTCCGGTCGTAGTGCCAACATAACGCACGCACATAATTGATAGTTCGGAGCTGGCGCTATTGAGTTCCGAACTACATGGTTATGGGGTTACAGCAAATGGGTGTTGCCCTATTTTGAAGGGACTGAAGGTATGTCGTTTGGGATCCATGGTTTGTAACTTTTAATCATTACACGTCGTGATATTATGAGGGCAAAACTTTGTACGCTTCAGTTATGGTAAATGTAGAGCTGTTGGAGCTTTAGCTGAAATTAAGGGCTGCAGAAAGAGTCATCCTTCATAAAAATAATATATTATTTCTGTACTTCGTTCATCTAAACTGATTGGTTAATAAATTAGCCATAAATTAAAGTACATAGGCCCTTTCCAGGGCACTTAAACACGTCCCAAATATAGCTTGCCCTACCACCACGGGACAACATACGGGCTGGTGCTCAGAAGAAGTGGCGGAAGAAACTCAGTCACCTTTGTCAGCCTCTGTTTTTGTAAACTGTGAAAGTCCCCACATTAATATAAAGACACTGGCACTTAAATTAGCGTGAAAAACACTTGCTCTCAATATGATGGCCGTTTGGTGTAGTGGTTCAGAACGGACTTTTATGCCGAGAGGTCCCGGGTTCGATTCCCGGCCGGGCAGAAATTTAAATGATGAATTTTATTTTCTGTGACGGGTCTGGGTGTGACTATGTATAATATTTATGTATTAAAAAAAAAAGTACATAAGTAGTATATCCGTTAAGCTAGCACCCATAACACAAGCATTAAGTTGCTTACTTTGGGGCTAGCTGGCGCTGTGTGAAATTGTCCAAAGATTTATTATTATTATTATGACGTTAATTCAACGTCTTTGTAGTCCCAAGCTGTCAGCCAAAAGCTTCTGTTGAGGGTAGTCGATATTATAAATGTGAAAAGCCCAATAAGAGTAACGAGTCTATTCTATTAGAAGATAACAACATGTTTAGTAACTGTATCGATGAGTCATCCGTATCACACAATACCATCGTGATCTGCGTATTAAATTAGTCTCCTTTGTGCTTCTTAATATAATATAATTCACAAGGGGTATGATTTGTTATGAAAAAACCTAACTCATGTCTCTGAGTCATGCCAATATTCTGCTGCTGCTTTAAATGCTTTATAAAAAATCGCATTATACAATGTAGGTAGATCTCTTTTTAATACTAAGTGAAGCAGAAGATGAGTCTTACTTAGAAGAAATTAACCGTGTAGCAATAACAATAGAACCACCCTCAATGTTCCCGTGAAAGACTTATTCCTGAAGTAGAAACTTTTTTTTTATGCAAAACAAGGCAGGTATTTGACCACAATCGCACCTGATGTTAAGTGGGATGCAGTCTAGGATGGTACATATCTGCCCTGTAAGTGCCTATTCGATTATAGTTATCGGGAAAGACAGCAGCAGGCAACGAATTCCAGTCCCTAGATGTTCGCATTATAAAAGAGTCATCGAAACTATCAAGCGCCCGTATTTACAAACATTACTATGAGGTCTCACAGTGCGCGTGGACGCACAGGGTGACACATGAACCAATCATAGAGCTCTATTCAACGCCGTGCGTTCGATTTGCTGCTTCACTTAAGCAAGCATCGTTTGTGAATACGGGCGTAGGTTAGAATATGACCCGATTGCAAAAGCAAGAAACACTAAATTTAATGACAAATACGCGACTTAGCAAACGTTGCTCCACAAAACGTAGTAAATGCACCATAATAGTGTCATAATGTGCTAGTATGTCAATAAAACACCTCGTATCGAGTAGACAAGCCTCGTGGGAATTGCCTTGTTGCAACAAAACGGTTAATAAATGTCTGAGACTAGGCACATGTCAGTTATTCAAAGAACTTAATGGTTAAAATGTTTGCTAGAACTATTGAAGAATGATAAACCACTTAGAATCTCACATTGTGTTTCAAAATCGAGCAATAGGTACTAAATACTCTTTAAAACAAAAACAAACTTTAATTATCATATCACTGGACAAGGGCTTGTAATAATTTGGTTGAAACGAACGAAGATAACTCGCGTAAAGTCGCAGATAGAGCTACGGGACTATCCCAACTCTCGTTCCCACCGCCGCAACTCCTGTGTTGCCAGGATCTACAGCTTGACCGCCAATAAAACCCAACCAGTGAAGGTCAAGTTTGTCCCGGGGGAAAGTTAAACTGTCATTGGACCCGCAACGAAATTAATCTGAAGAACATAGGAGTTCGAAGGTAGAGCTAGTCTCACCTAAGACAGACATACCCGCATCGTATATCGATTGCGCGCGACCTTCAGACTCGGTCGCCCGTCCTCTACGTCGGACCCAGACTTAATGGAACTTGCCTAATTTCGTTACAAATGCCGAAAGGATTCCCATTATGGTGCTGTATTGTCTAATGATCTAATCTAACACAATGCGTGCCACAATTTGTTAAAGTACTCGAATTTGCTATTTTTTTCCACCTGTTGGAAATTTGGCTCGGAAAAACCCTTGGAGGTTACCTAGACTTGATTTCACCACATTTATGTCAGTTCTTTAATTTCTATTACTGTTTCTTTAGTCTCGAATGCATGTTGTTGTCACCTTTAATTAAGTTTGCATCTAACAAGATAAGTGTCGTTAATGTAAGTTTCTTTGTTAATGCAATGACATACAATGTTAATTATGCAGTTCGCCAAATTGTACTTTTACATTTAAAAAACCGGCCAAGTGCGAGTCGGGCTCGCGCACAAAGGGTTCCGTAGCAGCAACAGTTAAATCAACCTATCTCAAAAACTATAAGAGATACTTTGATCAAACCAAAAATCGTTGAAAGAGTTAATTAGCAGGCATCACCTCTATTTTTTTTAGAATTTTATCCCCCGTAGTTATAAAAATAGAGGGGGGGGGACATACTTTTTNTCTTAAATATCTAGGGAATACAGCGTTCACTATATGCACAGTTTGCACAGATATTATATTTTTTCATGCCAAAGAAAATTCCCGAAATATTAATGTATTTCCTTTAATACAAAAGCAAAATATCAAATAACTGGAAAATGTGTCGACTGCTTAAAATCAATAAAAATACTTATAATCACAATTAAAAAAAAACAAAGGACAAAGAACAATTTTCAAACAATCACTAACAAGTGTTAGTAAATAAAGTTTTTTAGATAGGTACCCTTATCTTAGCTATACCATGGATCTATCTTAACTATACTAATACTCACTTCCCCGCTTGTGAAGTCCCATGATGCTTGCCTCAGAAGCCAAGTCACATCACTGCGTAACACTTTACACTTACACTTTCTCACATTTCACTTTCAGCACATCACTATTCTGCGTGTGAAGTGAGGTTGAGAGTGGCGCACACTGTAGGGTTTTAATTCGTTAGGCAATTTGTTCAGTAAGGAATAGTAATGAATTGCGTGACCAGGGTTTTTTCGAGGATTTTAAAATGCATATTGGAATTGTACTGATAAATGGGTAAGGTTTATGTAATTCTGTGTGCTGTGGAGAATATTACTCGTATTAAAAATGGACGATATATTACAAAGAACACAGCACAAGTTTTTTTTATAACGACAAGAAAAAAAATTTGTTTAAAAAATAAGAAGAAAAATTTACGACAAAATATTTTTAACTCATTGAGCTCATAATATTTCCTATTTACTTATTTTTCTTTTCGTTATTTAAGCCATAATATCGTAGGATAATCTTAGTCAGAAAAACTTAGATTTTGTTATTTGCTATTAGTTTTGTAATTAACCGATTTCACACGGGCGAATCCGGGAGTAAAAGCCAGTACTTCGTTCTGTCGTTCTTACAATAACTACACTGGATATTAAGTATTTGTACAGAATTACTAATTACTATAGGTTTCAATGTTTCTTGCCATTTGATTGTGTATGTCTTATCTGTACCTACTTAAATAAATAGGTAAATTACTATTTTTAAGACCATCAATGTACACTTAGCGTTAACGGCGGCGGCTCCTCACAGGCATGGGAACGATTTTGAATGCGTTACGAAAGGAGACTGCATTTAGTACAGTCAACCGCACATCAGACTACACATTTATGTTGCAAAATAGCACGTATATAGTTGACATAAGGTGCTAATGTGCTGTCTGTACCACACATGGCTCTCGCTTTCGCTTGAGAGCGAATCTTCGTAATTACATCTAATTGTTCCAGTTTTATTATTTTCAGTCATTTGGTTAAAAGCCCGGACTAAGATCTGAAGATTGTTATCAGTTCGTCTGATGGCTATGTGAAATTTGATTGTTTTGAATATGTGTTTATGAAACTAGTAATTTTAGTGGCAATGGTCTTATAACCATACATTTCTATTCATGAGGTAACAAGAGACATGAAATTATAATTATGCATTTTTTTTCGTTTTTTATTAATTACTTATCTAATTAATTGGACAGAATTAAAAAAACAGAAATAATAAAAATACATAAGTAGGTAATTAATTATATTTTACATCTAACTCCTTAAAACTGATATAACGAAATCTTAATATTATTATCCTCTTGCTTTACAAGGGATCAATAATAATTAATTAATTACTCAATGAGTACCTGTATTATGTAGGTCCTTAATCAAAGTCAAATTATTATTAATTCTTCGTTAAATTACGTTACATCTTTTACTTACAGCTTTGAACTAGTTGAAAGCTTGTACGTACACAGCTATTGGTATGAGATCCATTATAGGCAATAAGGCGAAGGGAGTTTTTCAATTAAATTCACTGGTTTGGTATTTTGTAAGTGCCTAATGCCTACTACGAAACATATAATCTGATGTCCGTTATTTATCTAACGTAAGATTCACATAAAAATGGCTTAGTTTTTGATTAGGAAAAAACGCCTTGAAGTATTAGGACTTGTTCCTTGTTTCGCCTTGAAGTATTAAACTTGATTGCAGTGGGAACGAACCCTTATTTGTACCTTAGCGGTTTCATGGAATCTTTAGGCTAAGAACTCACGGCGCGATTTTCACCCGCGCCCGCAGCGGTTGTGGAATTGCGGTATTATTTCAAAACTCACGGGAACGGTTATTTGTGCGGTTATTCTAAGAACTCAAGGCGCTAAGTCACTGGTACAAAATGGTCGCCCGCCGATCGGGTGGTTTTCGCGCGGGCGAAAACCGCCGAACGGGACCCGCATACAACCGCGCCCGCTGCGGGCGAAAACCGCGTCGTGAGTTGTGTTACATAAGTAGGTATCTGCATTCTACAGAAGCTGCGGGACCGCAACCGCTGCGGGCGCGGTAGAAAATCGCGCAATGAGTTCTTTGAATGCCTTAGTCGTCCCTAAATATATTTTTTTTGCAACCTCAATCGAGTATTAAGTACAGTCGTCACGATATTATCGGATGGGCCAACAGTTTCGCCAGTCAGGGCCGTCCTGCATCAGTGCGCGCGCGCCGGTATCGTAACGAAGCGTTTGCGCAGAACAATGGATTGATTTGATGAAGAAATACGTGGCGAAATATGCCGCTTTGTTTTAAGATCGGGGAAGGTGGATATACAGGGTGCTGATATCCATAATCGCCATATTTAGGGAGTTGAGTAAAAAAATTGACTTCGATAAAAATTTAAAACGAACTTTAATTAGCAAAGAAAAATACCTATTTACACTACCTACTTTACGTGGCTTCCTTCAGTAGGCTATCCGACATGATAAGCGAGCGATCCGCGCAGCTTGATGGTGCCGCAGTGTAAACTATTGCAGTTTTGCGAGCCACAGTACAGTTGATTTCGCACGGAAAATATTTGTTCAAAATTCCACTTTCGTTTGTAATTTTTTTTTTTGGTTGATAATGCGTTTATTTAAGTCATACCTAATAAATCACCTAAATAAATATGGCGAGGATTGAAATCAACACCCTGTATTGTCTACTATACACTAATATTATAAATAGGAAAGATTTGATTGTTTGTTTGAAGTGAATATGCTACGAAACGGTATCCTTCCGTTTGGCCAAATTACTTTTCGCCAAATTTCACTTCGCAAACAACTTATTGCCAAAGTTTCATTTCCCAAATGAACTTTTAGCAACTGTTCTTTTCGCAACTAATTCATTTGGTCAAATTATCATTTGGTAAAATTTTACTTGGCAAATGTTTATATAGCAAATGTTTTATTTTGCCAAATATTATATCCCAAATAATTTGTTTGGTCAAATTGACACTTCACATACTTACCCACCGTTACCCACAAATCAAAGCATAAGGTACATGATCATGGTTTTCACAAGAATTTTATGTAAAACAAAGAGATTTCAGAAAATAGTATGGTTGCAAAAAGTAGGTATCTATTGCAGAAAATAGTAGGTTAGGTTAGGTTAGAACAGTGACCCTTAATGCGCGAAGGCGAGCGAAGCGTGCCGCGGCAGCGGCCGCCGAGCGCTAGAATCACCTCTATTGTGAATGAATCATTTGGAAATTTCGATAAAGAGAATGAAATAAGAAAATTAATTAAGAACAAATTTTATATTAACTACCCACTAAATAAAATAATAACCACAAGCTAATTTGTATCCATTCTATGCACCAATCAAATTATTTTGTAAATAGTTTATCGTGAAATATTTTTGCCAAATGAAACATTTGGCAAAACATAGTTTGCCAAACAATAATTTGCTAAACAATAATATGCCAAAAACGACATTTGCGAATTAAAAGTTTGCAATAAGTTGTTTTGCCAAATGAGAATTTGCCAAATAAAAATTTGCGAAACGTTGTTTGCGATGTGATAATTTGGGAAACGTTTTTTGGCCAAACATTAGTAATCCGCTACGAAACTACTGGACCGATTTGAAAAATTCTTTCACCATTAGAATCCAAAATTATCCCTGATGAACATAGCTAGCAACAAGCTTCGTTTATACGACAAGTCAAGAGACAAACGAACTGTTTGTCTTTTGTGAATGCAGGTTCCATTATAAATGTTACTTTTTTCGAAAAAAATGCTACGAAGTGACTGAGTGCAAATTGGTGGATCTATTTTGATAGAAAAATGCAATTTCTTAAAAAGGATCAGCAAAATAGAAGATTTAGAAACGCTTATAAGAAAATTGAGAAATTGAGAGCCAGTATTTTACAAGTTCTAATTTGAATTTAAGTTTAAAGCAGTCTGTGAAAGTTTATTGGTAACAGATTGCGTATTTTGTTTATGGAGCTATAAATATTCGAGATTTAGCTGGTGCCAACAACACATCAAGTAAATATTGATTTTATAGATTTTTATCGCTGTGAGTTCATGTTAAATTTTAAAACGAAAGAGAATCAAAATAAAGATTTTATCACAATTTTTCCTTAGAGATCAATCGGGGTAATTAGGTACAAAAGTGACAGTACACTTTATAATCGCGTAGTAATAATATCTTTCCATCTGTCTAGTCATGGAGTGTGATCAAAACATAACAGAAAATTATTTCGTGCTACAGAAGATTTTAACCCTTAACCAGGCTCAAATAGTCACTGGTTTTCAACCGTATCTTCACAGCAAGTTCAAATTGATGTGGGCTCTATTTAACCAAGGCCTGTAAGGGTTAAGTTGGTCTGATTGAGCCTTGTCAGACGCCTATGGCGGGTCATAATGTCCCACACCTACGCAATGGCTAAAGATACGGTAAAGCACACACTACAATTTCCAAAGTGTAAAATATAAGACCTTTACTTTAAACTTACACCTATATGCCAAAAACGATAGTTTAAAACAACAGTTAACACATAGCTCTAGCAAACAGACTCTATGAAAATATTGGCCCATTCGGTTTCCCTTAGCCATTTTGTAGTTTCCTGCACATGTAGAGTCACAGTTCTTAAACCTTTGCTTTAAGATTTAAATCGTTTAGATTTAAATCTTAAAGCAAAGGTTTAAGAAACACTTTTCTTTGTGATTGGAGTCGTTTATGTGCCACGGATGTTATGTAAAAAGAGTTATTTTGGTATTGCATGTTATGGTTCTCTATCTGTTTAATTTTCGCTGTTTATGTGTTGGGAATGTGAGGTAGAGTTTTGAAATGTCGTCATTGTCCGATACTCATCATATAGAAGCATATGTTTGTATGAATCAAACACAATAAAGGATATGAAAATTGTCTGTCAATATAATACTAGAGCAAAGACAACATAAACATCAGCAGTGCTGTACTACAGTCAGCTACAAAAAAATGGAGCAAAGTTTAATATGAATAAGAATATCTTTATTGATGTAATACACTGTAACACTTTATATTGAACTAAACTAGTGTAAACTGTATTTCAGTAGCCAGTGTTTTCCCAATAGGTGAATACAGACATACAGAGCGCTGGACGCAGGCCGCTACCAATCGATCAACATGGAAAGCATTGGGGGAGGCCTATGTTCAGCAGTGGAC